GGGGGGGGTTAGGGCATCAAGTAGAAAGCATTTATAAAAGGGGGGGCTATTAAAGTATCGGTACCCAGATGCCAGTTCTGCTAGGTATGGCACTGCCAATACTGTAGGAGTTTGGGCAGTCCAACAAGATGGAAAAACTTATTCTCAGAAGGGTTCAACTGCAGCATAGAGCCTGGTTATGTGTGAGAAAGATCTTATGACAACATGACAACAGTTCAAACAGTCACTTTCTCCCCCATAATTCCTGCTTAGAGGTGACAGAAAACTCATCCAGTTTGTTCCAGTAGTGCCAAGAGTGACACTACTGGAGACTGCATTCCAACTGGGCACTGAACTCTTCATAAATAAACAGTCAAGGTCTAGTAAAACCCCATTTGTGATTTGTAGCAAGGTTTATAAATGCTTTCTACTTGATGTCCAACTGTCCATGTGTATACCTTGCGCCACCTCACTCTGCCACCCCATAACAATTGTATAATAATTGTAAAAGTATGCTTTAGTTTGTTGAATGTTACCATGGAAAGAAAAACTTCAGTGTTTCAAACTTGATGGAAGGGTAAGAAATTAAAATAGTATTTAAAAAGTAGTTATAAATTTTGCCCAAGCACTTACAGTTATGTTTCTGAACAGCTCCAACTCTCTCAGCTTTTCTTCTCTGAACTTCCTCTCCAGTACAAGATCACAAGGCAGAGCACAGTTTCTAGAGCTCTCCATCTACTAGCTTAGAGAAGGAGGAGGGGAATGTCTTGTCCTGCGGTGACTGTGTGCTTGTGAGATCCAATTAGTCCCATCGCACTCCTGACCGGAGAAAAGCTCAGCGTACAGGGTGGGTGCTGGATCAACAGCAGATGCCTCTGCAGATAACGTGAAACCAACGAAAAAGCACTCCAATATGATGTCCAGTTAATCTCTTTATTGACTAAAGCGGTATGACATCTTTATGGTTACTGTTTGCCTGATTAAGGAACCTTCGGGTTCAGAAACGGTGCATGAAGATGTCTTACCACTTTAGTCAATAAAGAGATTGACTGGGCATCATATTGGAGTGCGAGTGGCTTTTTCGTTGGTTTCATGTGTGCTTGTGAGGGGGCCCGCAGCATGCTAGCACAAATAAGGGTGGCTTCATAAGACCCTACAAAGGAAAGGAGCCCACCCTAAAACAGGATATTAGAGCCAGTACTCAAACAACAAGCTGATTCTGCAACAGTCTAAAAGTTTTAAACATCAAGGAGCAGCCTCCATTGTAAGTGATTTAACCACCTCTCATCCATTGGCCTACCTAAATGGCCAGACGGGAGGCTTGTAGATGCGGATAGGCTTTTTAAGATGCCCTTCCCAACCCTCCCTCGTGCGCGGCACCCAACGCGCACAGGAGTGGGAAAACTACATGAAATATAAACAGCCAGCAATGGCTGTTTGAATACAAGCGTTCTGGCGTCTGTAGAGACTCCCAATCGCTTGTATTTTGTGTGGGTGTGCAGCCCTGCTGCTGTCCATGTAGCTGCCAGTCCCAAAATCCGCTTTTATCAGCTTCTCTGGGGGTCCCTAGGTGACAATAGGGATCTTGGAGACCCCTGATGTCTCCATAAAGAGGACCTGTCACGTAAATTGGCTATCACATAGGGGGCTTCTTATCCCCCTATGTGATAGCAATAAAGTTAAGTGTAAAAAAAAAAAAAGTCCCCCGCCCCCACATATACACGTAAACATGCATCAGGTGTGCCTATGTGTGAAAACGATTGCACCCATTGTGCCTCACATGTTGCATATCCCTGCGAACGTTGGAATGAGAGTAATCATTTTAGTGCCATTAATCACTAATAACACTAAACTGATGAGCGGTAAAAGCTTTTAAAACGTGCCTATGGCCAATTTTGGATGTGGTAATTGTTTGAGATTTTGCGGGCGCAAGGAATTTTAAGGCTTGACATATTTGGTGTCTATTTACCCGACGTGACCCCATCTTTTATGTTTTAACAAAAAATTGGGGTGATAATAAATGTTTCATATCATTTCATAGGGAAACAGCGTTGCATGATGGAATGAATGTCAGTCAAAGTACTGCAGAGCTGCATACTGAAAAATGGCCTGGACAGGAAGGGGGTTTAACACTCTGGTCAGCAAGTGGTTAATCAGCATGTGAAATAGCTTAAAAACCTTTTGACTTTAATATCACTTTAATTCCATACAGGATTAGCTTACTTATTATGCTTGTTTGTCAATCTTCACATTGTAGGGAAAATCAGATTTGGCTGGAGAAAGGGGGTGGGGGGACACCGAGCACACAGAGTAGACTGATGTCTGTACAAAGATTATATGTACGGCTGATGTGTGCAATAGCAAAACTATGTCTACAATGTTGAACTTTGGCCAGATGGCACCAGGTTATATTTGCCAGCAATCAAAAGTCAGATACCATTCAAAATATAGTACACCCTTATCTGCCTGGTTATGCCTTGACATCACCCACCTGTTTGATCAGTGCCACATGCCACTGCTGGCACCCATGTGAATTTAGAGGGGAATGAATAATCATATATAAATAGTAAATAGTTTGGACTGAACTAGTGCCTGTACAAGTCATATGTCCCATGCAGTGATATTACACTTACAATACAGTATCTATCTATCTATCTATCTATCTATCTATCTATCTATCTATCTATTACAGGTCACTTCACAACAGATGTTTTCATCTGTATTTTCAAGGAAGTTATCTGCTGCCTTCTAATATCCAGATTTTCCTAATATGATACAGCATAAGCTTAGTTCCTGTTGTATTATAGCTAATAACAGGTTTGTTCTATCCTGTCATTTTCTGTTACATTGTTTCTTTGTTTTTTAGTCCCGGGACAGGAAGCTTGTGGGAGATAAGAATGGCGCCACCAGCTACGGTTCCACAGCCCGTTCCCTAAACATAACTGCCACCGTGCTCTCTATTTTGTTTACTGTTGTCGTAATGATCGCCCTTATTATAAAGGCGGTCATGATGATTGAAATGATTAAGAAAATGACCCAGGATGGAGGATACCCTAAAAACGACTTTGGATACGGATACGGAAATTAAAAGTGATAGCAGCCCAAAGCCCATAGCATCTGAGCATCTTTTGGCCTCTTCTCTCTCCTCTTTTTAAATCTCTAAATGTTGGGACTAAAATGTTATAACACTGGTTACAAAGCTCCTAAATCGTAAAAGGGTGTAAAGTGTCATTCACTTTTATCAAAGAAAAAGTGACAAATGTGTAAAAGAGTGAATAGGCAACACCCCGCCCTTAGCTTGTTTGGGTCCATTCACAGGAGGTGGTCTGACCATGCAGCTTCAAAGCAGCTGAGCCTCCATTCATGGTTGACTGAAGAAGTCATTCAGACACATTAGGCATTCATGGAAAGATTTACCTTTATTTTTTTTTACTGCGGAAAAGGTTTTACTAAAGAAGTATGGGAAATTTTGCAACAGAGAAACAGACAACAATAAAAAGCTGACAGAGGTCCTAGCCTTCCCTGTAAAAATTTTTACTTTTGTGTTACTGTTAAAGAGATTTAACCTTACTTCCTGTCCTTGGAAAAACCAGACCGGAAGTAAAAATACCTCTCCAATGGCAGTAAAACCCAACAGAAGTTATAACTAGGGATGCACTGAAATGTCAGCCACCGAAACATATCGGCCGAAAATGGCACTTTTAGCAAAATGCAGAAAGTGCCATCTGTCGGCCAAAATTGCGGCGCATCCCTGGTTACTCTCCTCCCCGGTGGGCACTTCTCTGTGTCCAGCGGGGAGGAGATAAACTGTCACAGGAGGCCAAGCGGTGCGGTGGAGGACAGCGATGTGAGCACAAAAGGCCGAGCTCTCCTCCCGAACCGCCCCGCTAAGCCTCTTCTGACAGATCAGGAGATCTGTGGGGGTGGAGAGCTGTCACAGGAGCCTGGGTCGGTGGTGCAGGGGAGGAGTTAGCTGTCAGAGGAGATTGAGCTCTCCTCTCCGCAAGGCTCACTCAGCCTCCTGTGACAGCCAATCTAGGATGGAGAGCAGGTACAAGCACTCAGCGATCAGTGATCGTTGACTGCTTGTAAATAATCGAGGACATAATATGTTTACTGTGTCCCCAATTATGAATTAACGGTAAGTGATCTGCATCACTTCCTGTTCATTCATGATTGTTGACATGGTACACATACTATGTCCACAAGTTATGAATAAACAGGAGCACTCAGTATAGAGGCTTCCTGTTCGTTTATAACAGGGGATGCAAAAAAAGAGATTGAGGACTCTGTAGTGTCAGTCTCCTTTTCTATTTTAAATTAAGGAAAATATCAGGGGTCTGTTTAGACCCTTAATATTTCCCTGAAGTCCCCAACAGTAAAGAAAAAATAATAATAAAAATAAATTAAAAACATTTTTAAAAAATTAAAAGGTTAGAAAAAAAATTTTCTGCATTCGGTTTCGGCCTGACATTTTTTTTTATTTTCGGTTTTGAAAATGTAATTTAGTTGCACCTCTAGTTACAACACTTCTCCACTCGATTCAAAACTAGAACTTTTTAGCTATAGATATACATTAAGGTGTGTTCAAAAGTAAGAGTTGGTTTGATTTTTCAATGAAAATTGAAAAATATGGATGTCTACTGTCCTAGAAAAAAATCTAATCCAGAGCTTCTTAGGAAATGTTTTGATGTTTATTATTTTATCTTTCTGGTTAACCAAAGTTAAATGACTTTTGGTCATCACCTTTTCCATACATAAATGACTCAATGTACCAAATGTTTTTTATTGACTCAATTACAAAATTGTTATTAAACTTCTTGTACCTAAAGTGCTATTTTCTTTCACAAATGCATGATACTTTTCTTTAGATTTTGTAGCTTTTCTAAGAAAAGTTGTATTTTTGATACAAATGCTATTGTATTTTAGGCAACATTGCCACTCTGTAATGTTGATTATTCAGGAAGAAGGCTGCTGTGTGTTGAAACTCATGAAAATCAATCAGAAATCAGTTTGTTCTGATTGGTTGGTATATTAGGCAGCATACTTTGCTATTTGTATTTTTGTTTTACATTATATCCCATTGTATCAATTGTGTGCAACCATATTTACTCTGACAACACTTCATTTGTTAGAATTGTTTTATTTTTGTAATTGTTGTTTTGCAATATTATCAATAATGGCATGGTAAAAAATAAAAATGATGAGTATATCCCAAAATGTCAACAATGGCCCTTTAAAGTGGAACCTTCAGCAAATTTACAAGATTGCATTAATACATGTAAAAATGTATAGCAATGGAGTAAATATTAGAAACAACTTACCTTTGTCATTAAAAAAGTGTCTTTAAGCTCCTGTCTAGTGACTTGTGAAAACCTGGGGTAATGTAATTAGTCTGCTGCTGGCATGGTGAAGCTTTTTCTCAGTCTCCTCTTCGCCAGTGATAAAACTGCAACATTCTAACTTTGTAGCAAATCAGAAGGTGAGAGGCTGCAATGGGACTGATGTGTGTTAGGGTGCCCACACACCTTACGATAATCGTACGATAATCGCGGGAAATCCCGCGATCGTACGATTATCGTAAGGTGTGTGGAAGCCGTGCGACCTCTACTACTGTAAGGTCGCACGACTTTAAACTTACGAACATGATCGATAACCCGCCAAGCATCGTACGCTGTTCGGCGGGTGTGTAGCATGTTCGTAAGATAAAAGCCGGACGGGCCGGTGTGCGCAAGCGCACACTGCCCGTTCGGCATTGCGGTCATCGGAAGCCCGCCCCTCAGGGGGGCGCAGCTTGCGATCATCGCAAGTACGATCTGCCTGTCCAAGACAAAGGTCTTGCGATGGTTGTAAGGTGTGTGCCCAGCAGTAGACTTTTGTGATTTAAATCACTATATCATCTCTGAGCCAGCATGACACTCCAGAAAGTAGATGCTGACCGTGGATGATGCCGGAACAAAGTTGACACTGTATTTCTGAAGAGGAAATCAGATGAAGGCATTGTCAGGAGGAGACTATAAGTACTTTGAGAGGTAATACATACCTAAAAGTGTTACACTTACATATTACTTAGTAGGTGCCACACATTAAAAATATGTATGATGATGGGTCCTCTGTCATCATCTAGTTCCTCTTCTCTATATTTTTCTTCTCTGCAGAACATTATTTTTATATGGAACCCTGAATTGATTTTTTTAAAGCACTAGAGATGCTTTGTTTAAGCATGGGTAAAATTCACTAATCTAGGAGAATATCCTTCTAGGTTTATAGGTTGCAGGCTGACATAACCCTGCTACTAAGTCTATGATCTACAAATACACCTAGATCTTTCTCCAGCATTAATTTACCTCATTTTACCACCCTTAGATTTGATGTTGCAAGTATATTTATAGCCCCCAAGTGCACAATTTAGCATTGTTCTACAATAACGCCCCTGGGCAAGCGTAGTAAATACTACTAACACTATTCTTAGGTGTTAAAGTGACACCAAACTCAGGAGTTACATCTTAAAAATGCATCCAAGTACCCTAACTATTGACAAAAATATTATTATTATATTATTTGTGTATCACTCGGCTATAAATCAAATTATCTCTGAATTGGTGCTGACACTGTCCTTCCTTCTAGAGGGTGGCTACTTTTGTTCCTCATAGTCATTTTATGTGTTGTAAAATAGACACTGCTCCAAGCTCCCTCCTGTGATGGACTACAATCTCTATACAAATGAGTAAACTAAACCTGAGATTGTAGTCCATCACGGGAGTGAGCTTGAGGTGGTGACTACTTTACAGCACACAGAGGGACCATGGGGGACAAAAGTAGCCAACCTCCAGAAGGAAGAACAGTGTCAGCACCAATTCAGAGATGATTTGAGGATTTACAGCCGAGTAATACACAAATAGGATACATTCTTGTTAATAGGGTACTTGAATGCATTTTAAGATTTAATTGCTGAGTTCAGTATCCCTAATGAATGTTCAGCTTAAAAATTGTCTAATGTTCCAAGGTACTCTGAATGTAAAGGAGATTGTACTATTAGAATGCAATGTGTGCTATGAACCTAATACTCTGAGTATACATGGAAGCAATTTATTCTGCTCCTGGCCCGACTACCCTTGTTTTCAGAACTCTCCCACGCCTGATTCAGGTGGCAATGTCTGCGATGTCACTTATGAAAGATGAAGTTATGCCTGGTGTTGCTGTAGTTATAGCCAAACCCTCCAGCCAAGCATGGAAGAATATGAAAGTATTTATATACTAAGCACTTTATTACTATATAAAGTTAAGCACTTTATATAGTAATGTCTTCCCATACTACCATCAATAGTGGGGGATGAATGGTCAGCAATGTCCTCTAAAATGCCCTCCTAAAAAAAAGTTTCTATGGACCAAGTTATAGTCACATTGTTTTAAGATTGCTTCACTGCATTGCTAATTAAGACACAACTCTATAGATTTTGTGTAGAGGGTGGAAGATTGGAGCTTCTATTAGGTTTTTATTGCCGTCTATGTACCTGTCAGGACAAGAATTTCTGGGAAACCTTTCCAATGGGGATACAAACAAAAAACAAAACCAGAGGTTCTGACAATGAGTTTAAACTTGTCTGTGCCTCCCTGTGCTGGTAACACCCATACCCCATCATTACTCATATAGGTGTCACAGGGAGAGCAAGAGAAGGGGGCATCTCTCCAGCAGGATAACAGACGGAAAAAAAAACCTCACAGAAATGTTAACTGTTCCCCACTGTATCCAAAACTAAGAAAAGTTAGTAATACTTTAATTTTGTTTTTCTATAATCACTTTGCATCTGGAACAATTTTTTTTTATTTTTTTGCACTCATGTTAAGTCTGAAAACGACTTAAAACCTCAAAAAAATATGTATTTTCTGTAAGCAGAGGCCCTGTAGAATGCTAGTTATGTTGCACAATGTTTTAGCAAATGTTATCAAATCAATATTTTTAGGAAAAAATATGCTAAAATTAATTCTAGTACACAAACAGAATATAATACCCATTATCTTGGTAAAATATAAAAGATTGGGTTGTGACAGGTAAACAGATGCCAAACATATGAAACCTTATGTAGC